TAACATAGTTCCTTTTGGGAGGAGGCAAAGGTCAAGGCATGAATCAAATTTAAACAAAAAGCGGTCACTGCCCGGGAGCAGACACAACCTTCCACTTTCTCCTGGGAGCCAGGTGCAGGCATCTGCTGCTCACAGATGTTATTTATGCACAGCGATTATCTCAATGATATATCTTGCTTCTGTCTCTGGATTAGTCTGTTTCCAGTGGAAGCATTCCACGGGAATTAATTAGTACTTGCTCCTGAAGAACAGGTGTCATTAGACCCACCCCACACATGGCCTCGTCTACCTGTCCACGAGGTCTTGTGAAATCCTGGGCCCAGGATCCAAAGTCTTCCACCAGCTGACTCCGGGGGGTGGGACGCAGGGGCCAGCTCTACATTTAAAAATCATTGTCTTGCAGTTTTCAATTTAGAGAATTCCTTTGAATCCAGGGTCTAGGGTTCTTTATACCAGCCCAATAGCTGAGAATATCAGGCTCTTTTTTTTTAGGTAAGAAAAAGGAGCCTCTGAAAGGCAGGGTGACTTGCTCAGAATCGTACAACTAATTAAGTAGCAGAGGCAGGATCTGAACTCACAAGGTGTGTGTCTTTCCTCCAGGAGTCTTCCATGTTTTATCCCATAGTCTTTAGCCTCAGGTGTTAGCTGAGACGGAGCCAAGTCTCCCAATGGAGGGAAACTGGGCAGAAAGGGCCAAATAATCTTGTTGGGATTCTAGACGGTAGGGCAATGGGCAGAGGGGAATGCCTGTCTACCCGGGAGGAAGGCAGGGGCTCTGGGAGATGCTCTGCCTGGGGGGACCCTCCCATGCCTCTGCTTGAGCCCGGCATGCCACACATCACTGCTTCAGTTGGGCCTAGAATCCTGCTGGGTTTTTTTGTTTGTTTTGCGGTATGCGGGCCTCTCACTGTCGTGGCCTCTCCCGCTGCGGAGCACAGGCTCCGGACGCGCAGGCTCAGCGGCCATGGCTCACGGGCCCAGCCGCTCCGCGGCATGTGGGATCTTCCCGGACCGGGGCACGAACCCGTGTCCCCTGCACCGGCAGGCAGACTCTCAACCACTGCGCCACCAGGGGAGCCCCTGATGTTTTTTTTTTACAAGCACTTCTGACCGTGCCCTTCCCTGCTCTGTAGCTCTCTATGGCTCCCTACCACCTTTGGGATAAAACCCAAACTCCTTAGTTGCGCTCACTAAACCGTTCACGAGCTGACTCTAGCCTCGCTGACCGACATTACCCTCCCTGTCCTTCCTCGGGGAACACTGCACACCAGCCACACTAGGCCAAGCGTTAGATGCTCCCTGTCTCCTCCCACCCCCGCGCTGGTGCTCCCTCCCACAATGCCCATGTGCATCTCACCCAGCCAGCCATTCGTTCCCACCTTCAAGCAGGCAGCTGAAGCCACCAGCTCCTCTCCCACAGCTAAATCAAGGGCATCCCCTTCACCTAAACCCCAACATTCCGCCAGGAAAGATCTCATCACCCTGCTGGCCTGTCTGCTCCTAGGTCGGCCTCTTGCCTAGACTGGGAGCCCCTCTCGGGAAGGGTTCTTCCTTATCCCTGCAGCCTGGCCTCGAATTTGTCCCGAGTGGACACCTTATCAGGATCTGCTGAACGCACACAGTTCACTAACAGGTGCTTTCAAACGCATTCCCTCATCTTTGCCCTCAGAGAGAAAACCCTTCTCTAGGTTACCCGGCACCATGATTAGCGAGCTGTAGAGGCTGCAGAGGGTGTTCAAGCTTCTCAAGCCTTCGGGGGCTAGACCTCATCGCCCCCGACCCCCACAGGCGCCTGGGACACGAGGCGATGACGACGCTCCGCTTCGGGACAAGGGCTCACGGAGGTCCCGTCACACGGCGAAGGTCATGACATTAGCAAGTGCAGGATCCAGTTCTCCTGACTCAATATTTAATGAATTGTAAAACTGGTTGAACTAGGCTCTGTCATACTAATATAACCTCACCATCCGTTTTCTCATCTGCAAAATGGGCCTATGCCATGGAACTTGAAAGTGTGTTTTGAGGGGTAAACGAGGCCCATGATTCCCAGATGGTGGTCCTAAGACCAGCACTGGAATCCCCTCATGTGACTGTTGAAAATGTAGGTCCTGGGTTTTCCCTGGTGGCGCAGTGGTTAAGAATTCGCCTGCCAATGCAGGGAACACGGGTTCAAGCCCTGGTCTGGGAAGATCCCACATGTTGCGGAGCAACTAAGCCCGTGCGCTACAGCTACTGAGCCTGTGCTCTAGAGCCTGCAAGCCGCAACTACGGAGCCCACGTGCCATAACTACTGAAACCCGCGCTCCGCAACAAGAGAAGCCACCACAATGAGAAGCCCACGCACCGCAACGAAGAGTAGCCCCTGCTCGCCACAACTAGAGAAAGCCCACACGCAGCCATGAAGACCCAACGCAGCCAAAATTAAATTAATTAATTAAAAAAAAATGTAGATCCTGGGTCTCAATGGGAAGAAAAAACGAGGAGGGGGGCCTGTAAATCTGTGATTTTTAAACAGTACTTAAGTTATCGGATGTGCAGCCAAGTTCGGGGACCCCAAGAATTCCAAGGAAAAGCCTGATACACAGTAGGTGGTTGAAAAATGTTAACATCGTGGGTACAGAACTGTCAGCGCTGGCGGCATTAAGACATACGCTGCTGTGTGCTGTTGGGTAAATTACTCAACCTCTCAGAGCCTGTTTCCTTATTAGTAAAATGGGTCAAAAATAGCAATAGCCGCCTCCTAGGGTTCTGGTGAGGATGATCTAAGTCACGCACTTCCAGCCACCACGCCGACCAGCTAGCAGTCCTGTCAGCTCCAAGCCAGCCCCCACTTTGCCTCCTCTCACCATCCCCACACCATTTAACCCAGGAGACCCTCTCCTCCAGCCTAGAGGGGTACTCTAGCCTCCTAACGGCATGCACTCATCCCTCCTCAATCCCTTCCCCACACAGAGGAGTGATCCTCTGAATCCGATTATGTCACGCTCTGCTCAAAACGTCCCGACGGCTTCTCATCACCCCGGGAATAAAATCCAAACCTCCCAGGCCCCGCACGTTCTGGTCTCTGCCTGCTTCTCCTTCTCCCAGGGCAGTTTAGCTGATCACCCAAGCTAAACGAGACCCCTTGCAATTCCCTATTCCCTTTATTATTTATAATAACCCCACTTATTTCCTTTATTACCTGAATTAAGGTGTGGGATATTTCTGTTTATTTGTATCATTGTTTGCTTGTCCTCTTTTCCAGCAGACGTCAGTTTCAAAGGGAGAGGACCATGCCTGTCTTACTAACCGTAATATACTTAGACCTAGCACATCGCCTGACACTCAGTACATGCTGCATAAATACTGAATGAAGGAATGAATGGAACAGTCCAGCACCGTACCCAGCAATGAAGACACAGCCGGCAGCCAAGTTAGCTCCCTCTCCCTTCCCCCCTCCCGTCTGCTCTCCCTGCCTCTGTCCCTGGAGGCTTCAGGTAAAGGACAAATACCGTACATGGGAGAGGAGAGACAGCAATGCCCAATGTCATCGCTACTTTATTTGATTAGCTCTGACTCTGGCAGGCGGGACACGTGTGCTGGGAGCCAAAGCAACTGTACCCTGACCTCTGGTCCACACGATCCCATCCTTATAACAATTTCCATGACAACAGCAACAGAAAGCCAAGGCTGTGAATTCTCTTTGATAGGAACCGGATGCAGAGATGGGGAAGAAGGACTTTCAAAAGAATGAAGTTCTTTGATTCCGCTCAAGGCGCCTTCACTAAATACCACTATTTTCCAAGAACACACACTTTAACCCTGCAGAGGGAGATTTCTCATGAATAATAAAAAAAGAAAAATGAAAAGAGGAACAAACAAAACCACTGTGGTTCCTTTTCAAGAACATTCACCTACGGAGAGAGGGGGACTTGGATGGCATCAGGAATATTTTGATGAAAGACAGGCAGAATACAGGGCCTCCTGCCAAGGGGGCCGCATGAACCCAAGATGCCTGAGTGGTGGCTGAGTGCTCAGACATCCTGACTGCCTGACAGAGGAGGCTCAGGGTTCTCCATCCACCTGGTCGGTCAGACAGACAGGAAGACGCAGGGTGAGGCAAAAGAGCTCCCAGATTCTGCAGTTAGAATCACGAGCCCTGGATTTGAATCCCAACCCTGCCACCTACCTGCCGTGTTACCTTGGGTGCATTACTTCCCACCTGTGGACAGAACTTTCCCATCTGTTAAATGGGCACAATATGATTTGCTCTCCCCCAGGGGGACCACGAGGACTGAGGGAGGGGACACATTCAAGCACAAGTGATTCTAATGTTCTGACATGGCCATGAAATGAGTGACCAACTGTCCTGGTGTCCCTGGGGCTGAGGGCTTGCCCGGGACATGGGACTTTTAGCACTAAACCAGGACGGTCTGAGCCCATCATGTCTCCTGAGGAGCTCAGCTCCCTCCTGGCCTCACCTCTCATCTGCCTCCCGTTCTCCTCTGAGGCAGCCAGGGATGGTGGGGCCTGAAGACCTGGGTTTGAATCCCGACTCTGCCCCTCTAGCTGTGGGACCCTGGGTGAGTCACCTCTCTCGTCAATGCAGATGCTGATCCTCATGTAGGATCTGCACTATCAGCGCTATCTGTTTCATATCCAGCCCTGCTGGTCCCCACGCATGCACGCACACAGGCACGCAGGCGCGCTGCACTCAGCCATTCTGCCCCAGGGCCCTGATCTGCCCAAGGACTCAAACTCACTCTGCCTCAGCCCTAAAGAAGGGACCAGGACTCCTAAGTCATTTATAAACCCCCTTCCTCATCTACCATCTCCATGTGACCCATTCAGCCCCGCAATGCCCTCCACCTCCCCTCAGGTCTGTGAAAGTCAGACATCCGGGCTGTGGCCACGCCCACCCGGGTGGGAGAACCATTCTGCCCCTGCTGGCCGCAGCATTCTCCCCCTGCTGGCCGCAGCATCCTCCCCATGGGGTTCTGAGAGGACCCTGTGACACTCACCTGGCTTTGCACTTTCTCCAGCTCCTCCTTGCTGACTGATGTCTTGCTGTCCTCCATGGTCCCCAGCAGGAGCTGCACGTCTGACAATAGCGCATGAGTCCTTCTGAGGTCCCTCCGAAGACGCTTCTCCACATCAAAGTCCCGATGGCCGATCTGGAAGCCAAGGGAAGGCTCTCGTGAGCTAAGATGACAAAGTAGTGGCCAGGGTCCGAGTTCTCTGGAACCTGGCTCCCTGAGTTCAAATCGTGCCTCCACCACTCACACTGTGTGACCTTGGACAAGACCTTTCTCCTCCCCAAGCCTCAGCCTCCTCGTTGGCAAAACAAGAATAGCAGCATTATCTTTGATAAAGGAGGCAAGAATATACAGTGGAGAAGAGATAGCCTCTTCAATAAGTGGTGCTGGGAAAACTGGACAGCTACATGTAAAAGAATGAAACTAGAACACTCCCTAACACCATACACCAAAATAAACTCACAATGGATTAGAGACCTAAATGTAAGGCCAGACAGTATCAAACTCTTAGAGGAAAACATAGGCAGAACACTCTATGACATAAATCATAGCAAGATCCTTTTTGACCCACCTCCTAGAGAAATGGAAATAAAAACAAAAATAAACAAATGGGACCTAATGAAACTTAAAAGCTTTTGCACAGTGAAGGAAACCATAAACAAGACCAAAAGACAACCCTCAGAATGGGAGAAAATATTTGCAAATGAAGCAGCTGACAAAGGATTAATCTCCAAAATTTATAAGCAGCTCATGCAGCTCAATATCAATAAAGCAAACAACCCAATCCAAAAATGGGCAGAAGACCTAAATAGACATTTCTCCAAAGAAGATATACAGATTGCCAACAAACACATGAAAGAATGCTCAACATCACTAATCATTAGAGAAATGCAAATCAAAACTACAATGAGATATCACCTCACACCAGTCAGAATGGCCATCATCAAAAAAACTAGAAACAATAAATGCTGGGGAGGGTGTGGAGAAAAGGGAACCCTCTTGCACTGTTGGTGGGAATGTAAATTGATATAGCCACTACGGAGAACAGTATGAAGGTTCCTCAAAAAAACAAAAATAGAACTACCATACGATCCAGCAATCCCACTACTGGGCATATACCCTGAGAAAACCATAATTCAAAAAGAGTCATGTACCAAAGTGTTCATTGCAGCTCTATTTACAATAGCCAGGACATGGAAGCAACCTAGGTGTCCATCAACAGATGAATGGATAAAGAAGATGTGGCACATCTATACAATGGAATATTACTCAGCCATAAAAAGAAACGAAATTGAGTTATTTGTAGTGAGGTGGATGGACCTGGAGTCTGTCATACAGAGTGAAGTAAGTCAGAGGGAGAAAAACAAATACCGTATGCTAACACATATATATGGAATCTAAAACAATGGTCATGAAGAACGTAGGGGCGAGACGGGAATAAAGACACAGACCTACTAGAGAATGGATTTGAGGACATGGGGAGGGGGAAGGGTAAGCTGGGACGAAGTGAGAGAGTGACATGTACATATATACACTACCAAATGTAAAATAGATAGCTAGTGGGAAGCAGCCGCATAGCACAGGGAGATCAGCTCGGTGCTCTGTGACCACCTAGAGGGGTGGGATAGGGAGGGTGGGAGGGAGGGAGACGCAAGAGGGAAGAGATATGGGAACATATGTATAGCTGATTCACTTTGTTATACGGCAGAAACTAACACACCATTGTAAAGCAATTATACTCCAATAAAGATGTTAAAAGAAAAAAGAAGGCAGCAACCACACCGGGCTGCTGTGGGAATTGAACAGGTGCTTAGCCCACAGCATGACTCGTAGTAAAGGCACAACAAATCTGCGCCGCTGTCATGACTGTCATCACAGCCTGTAAGGACGCAGTCATTCTGTCTCATAATCTGTACCACAGCCATCACCTTGCAAGAGCTTACATGTCAGGCGAGGCCCTCTGCTGACAGAAGTCAGGACAGCAGTTACCCTGGAGGGGCAGTGACTGGGTAATACAGGAGGGGGGGCTTGTTTGTGGTGTTAATCTGGGTGCTGGCTTTAAGAGCTGATGCAAATTCAATGAGCAGTACAGGTGGGATAAGGTGTGCTTCCCTGCATGTATGTTACACATCAGTAAATGGTATTAGAAATACCTGTGCTGCTTTTGAAGGTCTATATCAAGCTTTTCTGTCCCTTGAGCAGGTCTCTTTTGCTCGTATAAAGACAGGCCATTTTCTGCAGAGGGACCTTGCCCAGAGGTCCCTCCCCCAGGATCCTGTCCTCCAAGACAGTAGTCACGTGGCTCCTGAAGAAGCCGCAGCCTGGACTTGGCACGGGGAGGGCGAGTTAGATTGGTTAACAACTCCCATGGCCAACAGCACAGGCTGGGACAAACCAAGGGAGGTGCAGAATCAGGTAGGGGCCCGATGAAACCCTGACAGCCCATGGTCTCCCCTGGAAACAGAACACCTACTTCAAAAGCACTGGGGTTAATGTCTCTGAAAGAAACTAACAGCCCCTTCCTCTGGCACCACTCATCAGATGGGGAGTTTTCAAGAAAATGGGGTGCAGGTGTGTCTTCCATGGAACCCAGTTTCTACACCCCTGGACATCTGTGCCTCCACACCAAGTGCAACCAATTCCTGGATGCTCAGAATACCCTGGAATATTCTAGAAAGAACTTGGAATTTAGAATGAGGTGGCCCAGGCTTGAAACCCTGGCTCACCACTTGCTGGTGGTGGGACTGAGGCTGAGGCATGCCACCTCTCAGAACCTGAGTTTCCTCGTCTATAAAGGAAGAGGTAAAAAAAAAAAAAACAAAAAAAAACTCCCTAACCTCCATGTTGAGATAAGACAAGGATCAGATGTGATAATGGATCGAAAAGTACTTTGTATGCTGTCAAATGCTTTCCAAATATAAAAGATTATGAGTACTGTCTGATGACCTGGAATGTATTCCTGTAGATTTTGTGTTATTATTCTACTGCCAGTTCTGAATTCTTTGAAAAATGAGTTGGTTCTTAGAATATAGCCTCTTAGTTCTCAGATTTATTGCTTTGTTAAGTTTAAAATGCTGAGGTGTTGTGTGTGTGTATATATGTCCTCCTGAGCTGAGGAGCTGAGGACTGGGCATGGTGCCAGGCCCTTTGTCACATATTACTGCATTTTACTCCTGTGGTAGTCTCTTTTAAAATGCCATTATTATTATTGCCTTTATTAAAATAGTAATAGCTTACACTTTGGGTTTGCTAAGTGTCAGACACTGTTCTAAACGCTTTACGGGTATGAACACATGGAGTCCGCACGGTGAATCTATGGGGTGTGAAGTATTATGATTCCCATTTTATGGATGATGAAACTGAGGCTTACAACAGTGAAGCAGTTTGCCCAAGATCACACAGCTAATCATAAGTGGCAGAGTTAGGATATGAACCCAACTTTTCTGACTGCAAAGAGGTAATTTTAATAAAATATACAATAAAAGAGGTTAAGTTTTGCTCTTCAATTAAAGAAAAAAAAAAGGGTGTTATGAAGGCACAGAGGAGCATCCCATCCAAGGCTGGGATGGGACCAGACACAGTCTCAAGTAAGCAGGAGCTAGTTAGGTGAGGTGCAGGAAGGGACACAGCTGAGAAACCATCTTGAATATGCCGTTCTGGGTGATTAGCATGAGGGTATAAAACACAGGGATGGGGCAAGTCACAGAATGAGAGAAGTTCCCTGGGGCCAGCTCACGTCTTGTGAGCTGTGTGGAGCTCTTCAGTATGTACTGTCATAGGGAAATGGAGGCACAACCGATAAAACAGAGAGGGTAAGTGATCAGCTCAAGGCCACACTGCTCCTAAGTGGCTGCCCAGGGACTGGAACCCAGGCAGCTCAGTATTAGAATTCAAGTCTCTAACCACTGCACCAGAGTGCCTGGTGAAATGTGAGCCGGGACATCTTAACTCGAGAGCCCGGATTCTTTGCCATGATTACACTCAAGCAACATGCTTTTGCACCTTCCTCATTTTTGTATCTGCTCATGCTCTGCACACATCCTAAGGAGCCTTTAATTCTCCTGTGGGGTAGGTCAGCATCAGGGACATTCAGGATGACCCCATCCTTGCTGCCAGAAAGACCCTGAAAGTGCTGGCACCATCTCCTTTCCAGAGGGATCACTGCAAACAAATTCACAACAAAACCTCAGACCAAGTCATCCACCCCTTCATAATAAATTGCTACGCAAGAGGAGGGGGAAAAAACACCCCAAAACTCATTAGGTTAATGGGAAATAAATGTCATTCTGCAAGTTTACATTTTGCAGCACAAAGATTCAAATTTAGATAAAGCTGGTGAATAATTAACCAATAAAACTAAATGATGTTTAGTGCTGTTGTGGGAAACTCTGTTCCAACCTGGATTGTTTCACCATTTATCATTAAGGGTAAATTGTTTGGGGCAGTAGTTCAATGTCTGTCATCAAAGAACTCTCTAAGCACTTTTAACAAATGATCTAAAAATGTTATTAGGGGTAATCAAGCCACTTTACAGATCGGGAAATTGAGGCTTAGAGAGAGAACATTATGTAGCTGAAGGTTGCACAGCAAATTCATGGCAGATCTGGATTGCCTGATAACGTTAGGAAAAAAGATGGTCCAGAAAAGGATAATTCTAGTTAACTAAACCTTAATCACTTTTTAAGCAGCATGGTGTTAGATTTAATTTTTAAAAATACAGGTTTTCAAATAATATATGGATAGACCTCACTTCGAATTCACATAGGCCACTAACAACCTATATGATCTTGGGCGATGTGCTTTACCTTTTGAGCCTCACTTGTTTCATTTATATGAAGGAACTGATAGTATCTAATAGAACAAAAGAGATCACAGAAGACATTATCAATCTACCCCAAAGCAGGAAAGGAATAAAGGAAGAAGCAAAGAAAGGGGGCAATAAACCAACAAAATTAAACACAAAAGAATAGAAATAATTTCAAATATATCAGTCATTATATAAATGTAAATGAACTAAATTCTCCAATGAAAAGTAAGAGACTAAAATATTGCATTAAAAAGTATCCATCTGTTTAAGGGACATACACACAGAGAAAGGTTAAAAACAAAGAGATAAAAAAGGTCTTGTGGGCAAACTAAAAGAAATCGCACAAAATAGAATAAGGCAAAAATAATTCACAGAGAAAAAAGGGACACCATACAACAATTAGAAAAGAACAATGTACAATGTGCCAAGGAAATAAAACAATAATAAACTTAAATGCACCTAAAAAAATAACCTCAAAATATATAAGAGAAAACTATAACACAATTATAAGCAAAGTATATCCCCATGTACCACTATAATTAATAGAAGTATACAAAAATATCCTATTTATAAGAGCCACAGAAACTACAAGATTCCTAGAAGTAAATCTAACAGAAAAGCTCAAGACTTATATGGAAAAAAATAATAAAATATACAATAAAATAAATATTTTGTATTATTATAAGGTATTAATTTATAATAAAAATAAAATATATTTATGAAAGCCATAGATATATGAAGAAACACAGCATGTTCATGATTGCAATACTTCAATACTAAAAAAATATGTCACTTGTTCCCAACTAACTTACAAACCAATGCATTTGAAAATCCCCACCAGGCTTTGTTATGGAATCTCAATAAGAAGATTAAAGGATTGAAAATAGATAAGACAATTTTAGAGATGAGAAAGATAAGCTGTTTACAAGTTATCAAACCCAGCCATTAAGACCACATGGTGCAGGAACTGAAGAATAAACCAATTAAACAGAATGGGTAGCCCCAAAACGCAGCCATACATATATGGAAATTGTAGAAAAAATTACTCATGAAATAAAACAAAGGTGGTCTATATCGGGAAAATATAGATTCCTACCTCACACACACCAAAATAAAATCTAGGTGGGACTTCCTTGGTGGCACAGTGGTTGGGGGTCCGCCTGCCAGTGCAGGGGACACGGGTTCGAGCCCTGGTCCAGGAAGATCCCACATGACGCGGAGCAACTAAGCCCGTGCGCCACAACTACTGAGACTACACTCTAGAGCCCGTGTGCCTGGAGTCCATGCTCCGCAACAAGAGAAGCCACCACAATGAGAAGCCCGCACACCGCAACGAAAAGTAGCCCCCGCTCCCCGCAACTAGTGAAAGCCTGCGTGCAGCAACGAAGACCCAACGCAGCCAAAAATAAATAAATAAATAAATTAAAAAATAAAATAAAATCCAGGTGGGTTAAAGGCCTAAAAATGCTCAAAACTTTAGAAATTTTCAGAAATATGGTGAAATATCTTTATGAACTCTGTTAAGGAAAAAAATCTTAAAAGAATCAACCATAACTGATGAACATGACTATATTAAAAACACTTTTTATTAAGTAAAAAACATTATAAACAAAGTGAAACGATTATCCATAGAGTAGGAGATATTTGCAAAATATACAACCAAAAGTGGATTAGCATCTTGGCTAAGGATCGGGAATAATGAATAGAAAAAAAAGGTGAAGACAAAACACTATAAACAGGCAACGCACATAAGAGAAAACTGTAATAAACGTGAAAAATGCACAACTTCACTAGTCATGAGGGACAAGCAGTACAACTTAACACTCAGTAACCGGTAAAGATCTTTAAATGTCTGACAGTGCCACGTGTCGGGGTGGGGGGATGTGTGGTAGCAAAGAAAAAACTGCTGGTGACAATGTAAACCGCCACAATCACTTTGAGGAACAATCTGGGCAACATCTAATAATTCCAAAATGGTACATTCCTAACAGCCAGCAATTCCTCTTCTAGATTCATACCCTGGAGAATCTCTTTCCCACGTGCACAGGGAGACATGTATAAGAATATGCACTGTAGCTCTGCGTCCTAGAATGGAAACAGCTAAGTATCCAACAGAAGAGTAGGATTAAAGAAAAGGAACACTGTGCAGCAGTTAAAAAAGAACGGATTAGAGCTACATGTGTTATCATGGGGGAATGTCAAAAACAGCAAAAACAGAGTACGGAAGGGGAGCGGTAGAAGTAAAGGCAGAATCGCACGTACTGTATACAGTTAAAGTTCAAATACACACGCAGGGGAATTAAAGCCTCCAACCTCAGGAGAACGGTCCCCTCTGGGAGCGAAGGACGAAAAGATGGAAGGATAAAGGGATGGGAGATGAGGAACAGAAACCAAGGGGCCACCAACTGTTTTTGAAATGCTTTGCTTCCTTAAAAACATCTGAATCTGATGCGGCAAAATGTTAATTTATGTGAACCCTGTCCTCTTGATGCACAAGCATCAATTACACTGTCTGTTCTGCTTTCCCTTGTGTTTGGCAAATGTCTTACTAAAACATTTAAAAGTATCCAATGTGACGTTATTCAAAGGCTCCAGCTTGGTGACTAACACAAAATTAGCTTCTCATTCACTTAAAGTTACCTTCTCCTTGCATGTGAAACTTAAAATTTTAGCAATATTTCTAAAAACCTTTCTTTACTGGATTAATTCCTTTGTTTTCTTAAACAGACCATGCTGGATAGAAGGCAACCTTCTCCCAACGATTTCCAAGTATCATTCTCGAATCAAATCCTGGGGTGTTCTCTCTCGTGCTGATGCCAAAGGGAGAGGAGCCTCAGTGGCTCTGCACTCAGTGGCACCAGTTTGCTTGGCTGAAAATCCAGAAAACGCAAAGAAGGAAGATCATGTAGTTCTCCCACTGATGTCCTCAGCTTCCGACTCTCACTCGCACGGCTGTAGGGGTCCCGCTCTAGAATTCACTCATTTACTCAATTTAAAAAACAAAACAAAACATAGTGAGCACCGATTTGTTCGAAGCCTGGCTGCCCTGGATGACCATTTGGAGGGGGCCCACATTCCTCTGCGAACAAGAGGAATGACTGCGGGAAGGTTATTGACAGCAAGATCGTTACTAATTAAAAGATAATGAACACAAGTTAAGCAGATACATTAAAAGATACTCCTATGATATTTAAAAAGAAACCATGGAAGCCACCAGCACTCCTCTCCAATGTCGGGGTTTCATGGAGGAGGAGCTGGCTCTGGGCGCTGCTGGTTGCTTCCTTCACAGCAGTGGTTCCCTGTAAAGAGGGAGGTTGACTGTGTCCTGGAGGAACATGTGGTAACGTCCGTAGACACTGCTGGTTGTTACAACTGAGGGACATGCTTCTGGCATTTAGGAGGTGGAGGCCAGGGATGCCGCTCAACAGCCTGCAATGAGACAGCGCCTCCTCCCCGCAGCACCCCGCCCCCCCAACCCCGGCCGCCAACAGCAAAGAATGATGCAGCTCAAAACGTCTGCAGTGCTGCAGCTGACAACCCTGGTCTACGGCGACGACGGCAAAACCCCACAAGGCTCTGCTCTCCAGCAGCTCAGAGCAGTTCATTAGATCACGCAAAGCCAAGGAGACAGAAGTGGCCCAGCTAAGGGTCTAAAGCGTCACTGGTCTGGCTCTGCCTTCAGCAAAGTCTGTTCTCACGAGGCCAGCTCTGAGCACAGCAGCATTCACAGTCACCCCGTCAAAGCAAAGGCTGCCTATACTGTCACCCCGACAGCGGCTGAAGGCAAGGCGACCTCGTCTGTCACGTGTGGCTGGGCCCACTCTCTTTACTCTCAAGGGTCCTTCCAAGAACCCTGCTGTATGAAGACTCCCCCCACAGAAGGTCCCCTTTGAAGAGGCAGTGAGTGAGGGCAGAGACAGAACTGGTGGAGAAGGCGGCGCCTGGGAGGAGCAGGTGGAGACCAGCTGAAAGGTCTGCCTGGGCTGGTCCTAAGACCCCTCCAGCTGGTCTCCCCACGAATCAGCTCTCTCACAGGGCCCCCAGAGGCAGGGAGTGCGCTTCCCAAATGCCTGCTGGTGTCTGCCTCTTACCTGATCGCAGAGGGTTCCGATCAAGCCTTCTAAGTCCTGCTTCTCATGGAGGACCATCTGCTTCTCCTCATATTCTTGCTCCAGCTGCATTTCCAGTTGGTGGAGCTGTGGGCACAAAGGGCAGATGCAGGCATAGGATACAAGAGCTCTACCCGACAAACCCCACGAGGCAGGGACCCTCTGGAGGATGGGGTGGGGGAGGTGGAGTTCATGGCCCCTCGCCCAGCTCCACAACAGCTCACCTAGCAGTTAGGAGGGGGTGTCTCTGTTAGAGAAGTTGGGAGCCTAAAAGCTCAGGAGCCGGACAACTATGGGGAGAGCTGGCCAATTACGGGGAGCGCCCTACCATTCACTGTGAAGTCCCCGCCCCCAGTTCCCTTCCCATTTCCTAACACATGTCTCCTTCCTCTGCCACGACCCAGCTTGAATAGTTATAAGTCTTGGCACTCTAACTTTTTAAGACTCTGCACAACATTGTATCCAGCATAATAAGGTGCATTCACCTCGCTTATTAAATACACTGTGATGCAGCAAAAAAAAAAAAAAAATGTTGCATTTGAGATTATGTGGTGTTTGGACTGCACGTTTGTCTCTCCAAAATTCCTAATCCCAATGCAGTATTATTTGCCGATGGAGCCTTTGGGAGATAGTGAGGTTTAGATGAGGTCATGAGGGTGGAGTCCCCATGCTGGGATTAGTGCCCTATAAGAAGAGACACCAGGGACCTTGCTTCCTCTCTCTCTCCACTGTGTGAGGACACTGTGAGAAGGCAGCCGTCTATCTACAAGCCAGGAGCAGGGCCCTCACCCCACACCAAATCTGCCAGCACCTCGATCTTGGACTTTCCAGCCTCCAGAACTGTGAGAAATATATGTTTGTTGTTTAAGCTCCCCCCACCCCAAGACCCCAGTCTATGATATTCTGTTATAGCAGCCCAAACTGACTAAGACCTTTGGCTACAAGCAGCTCATTTAGTTTACAATTGGCTCTGATTTCTCGGTAATCACCCAGCAATGGCAGGCACTCCCTGCTAAAGTGGACGCCCCACTATAACGGTGCTTTGCACATCCTCTTCTGCACCAGACTCTCTCATGTGTGTTGTCTCACCCCTTCCTCCTTTCTCCATCCTGTGCTCTCAATGACCTTCTTTCACAGACGGGAAAACTGAGTCAGAGAGCGGTCCTGAAGCATAGACTCCTACATCAACTGCTGCTGAGAACAGTCAGCATTCTGTCTCCTGGCCCCAGCTCTTGTGCCACACCAGACAGCCATCAGCATCCCCACCCAGGTCTCTAACGATTGATTTCCTGCCATGGTGAGAGACAGACTGAGCAGAGCAGTCACTAGATGTGCAGTTAATGTTAGTATCTGTCATAGGAGAAAAACACCTTTCTATGACCTCCCCCTCCCCCTTTATAAATCTGTCCATGGAAAAGCCTCAGGAGGGTCTGTCTGGGTCACATCTCCAACTCATCAGGGTCCTGGCTCAGGGCACTCATGATGCTCTGAGGCACTCTTGGAATGCACTAGAAATTGTGCTCCTTTCACCTGAGGGCACATGGGCAGGGACTGGGGGCTTCCATCTCCTGACCCACATAGAGAAAAAAAGTACTGATGGATGGTCATTTCAGAAGCAAGTTTGTTTCAAAATTTTCTTTTAAGAGTGAGAGACACAAAGCACTCTGCTCACACCTGCTTAAAATGAAGACTGCAAAAGTGAAACTCGTTTTGGAAAATATACAATAAAAATTACGCATTAAGCAAGGCAAAGTTTTCTGGAGTGTGTTCTGTAGAACATTTCCACATAGCGTTCACACGTATACTGTGTGTGTGTGGTGGGAAGGGAGGGAAGTCCATGCTAGAATAAGTGTGGGAGCCACTGAGTTAATAGGGCCTTCCATGCAGTACTTATCAGAGCCTTTGGTGAGTTCATG